TGATTTCAAGGTTTGTGACTTTGCAGGTTGATTGACATTCTCTTGTCTTGGTTCCAATCAGTAGCTCACTAGTAGCACTCAGAGTGAAAGAAGTATCTTTTCCTTTTCTTTACCCTACAGTGCAGTGGTACTTAATGACTGTTCTCAAACAATGACCTTCATAGCACCTGTGACACCAAACCACTAGGATGTCAGGCCACTGACACACACATCAGATTGAAGTTCACTTTTAACCCTATGTTTTGCATATCATTGCTGGAAGGGTAAAACACAAACAGATATGCAGGAAATGGCCTGCTCAGAACAGGTTGAGTAGTTAGCCTCTCATTATCTGTTCCTTTTTAGACTTTTTGTGTGAAGTTTCCCTGACTCTGTGTAAGAGTGGCACACAAGAATTTCTCTCCAGACAGCCACTGAATTTATATCAGCAGTCATCTTGGCTGTATCAATTCTCTTAAAAACAAAAAAATTTTGGAATTAAACTTCAATCTGTCCATAATTATCCAAGGTTATGAACTGTGGTCACGACAATACTGAGAAGTGTAGAGAGACCTTAGAGTGTATGTTCACAGATCCCTGAAAATGTCTGGGATGGTAAGTAAAGGGTAAAGACACCATAGTCTTTACCAGAAATAGGGCTGCTCTCTCATCAAAAAGAGACAACTGACGTGGTTTAACCTGAGGTTCACCATATCTTGGATGAGGGGAGAGACTGAGAAGTAGAGTCCTTCGTGATAATCTCAGCCGGTGTGGGAAATGAACCCACACTGTTGGTGTCACCTTGCATCGCAAACCAGTCATCCAGCCAACTGATCCCTGGAAGGGTAAATAAGGTAGGTAAAAAGACACGTCAGACAATTTCCTGTCTTTGTCAAGGTATTGAATATACAAGCTGGAAGGTTACATTGGCATTGTATAAAATGCTAGTTCAGCCGCTCAAAACTGTGTATGGTTTCGGTCATTCCATTTCATTAAGTGATTCCCCAAGTGGGATTACAGATGCAATTTATGAGTACTTTGCCCTGGTTAGTAAACTTTAGCAATAGCAAATAACTGGTTAAAGAGAGCCTTTCTTTAGAACAGAGGAGATTGAGGGAAGGTTTGGATTGAGTTTTATAAAATTATGAGGGTCCCGTAAAGACTGGACAGTCATTTACCAGCGAGGTCAATATCTTGTGGGGGGATAGATTAAAGTAATTCATGTGAAGATTAGAGGAAGTTGAGGAGAAATCTTTTCAATCAGGGGATGATGGGTGTGTGGAACTAATTTTCTAGAAAGGGTGGTAGAGGCAGAAACCCTCGTATTTAAAGAGTACGTGGATATGCACTCACAGTTGGTACCTGAGAGTATCCTCGACAGTACTTTTTGCTGGCACAAACATGATGGGCTGAATGACCTTCTTCTGTGCCATAAATTTCTATGATTCATTAGTTCAACAAATATAAAACTGATGCCCTCCAGAGCTTTGGAAACACTATCCAAAGCATTGTTTGATTTGCTTTTACCGTCAAGGATTCATCAGGGAACAATACATTGACCTGTTTTATCAGCTTTATTTTAGACACATTTCAGTTTGAAGGTCCAGCTGTTGTCTGAGCTGGAGATAGGAATAATCCAATGATTTAAAATACAAAGACAGTAATAAGTTTAGCTCATGTATAAATGATGGCTGCCCTGATTTACATTCCTAATTCTGTTACTACTTCTCCAACCACTTCTTTTGAGACTGCAATTTTTCCCTTTTGAGGCACTAACGCACAGACATTTGATCCAATAATCTACTTCTCAACCAATAATGGTCTAAAGTTTTTGAGATTTGTAGCTCGGGTTGTGGACGAGGTTGTAGACTTGCTCGCCGAGCTGGTGTGTTTGATGGCAGACGTTTCGTCACCCTGCTAGGTAACATCGTCAGTGCACCTCTGGTGAAGCACTGGTGTTCTGTCCTGCTCGTTATTTATATGCCTCGGTTTGCTGGGCTGGTTGGCATCACTTCTGGTTCTGTTTTTCAGTAGTTTGTATATTGGGTCCAGTTCAATGTGTTTGTTGATGGCGTTCCAGTTGGAATGCCAAGCCTCCAGGAATTCCCTAGCATATCTCTGTTTGGCTTGTGCTATTATCAACGTGTTGTCCCAGTTGAATTCGCGTCCTTCTTTGTCCGTGTGTATTGAGACCAGTGAGAATTGGTCGTGTCTCTTGGTAGCTAGTTGGTGTTAGTGTATCCTTATTGTCAGTTTTCTTCCAGTTTGGCCTATGTAATGTTTCTCATAGTCGTTGCATGGTATTTTGTATATTACATCAGTTCTATTGGTTGTGGGTATGGGATCCTTTACGTTCATCAGAAGCTGTCACAGGGTGGTTGTTGATTTGTGGGCTACTCTGATATCTAGGGGTATGAGTAGTCTTGTGGTCATCGCTGATATGTCCCTGATGTACCGTAGGGTGACCAGTGTGTCTGGGCATGTTGTGTCTCCTTGTTGTGGTCTGTCGCGGAGAAAATGGCGGATTGTGACTTGTATAAAGAAAGACCACACATACAGACCAGATACTTAATTACACCAGCAACGACGCCAACACTTATAAATGGAGTTGCATCAGGACATTATTCAAATGAGCCACAACACACTGTAGCAACCTGGAATTGTGCAAAGTAGAACAGGAGCACTTATACGGAGTTTTTAAAAGGAATGGATACCCAAAAAGTACAATTCGCTATTACCTCCGTGACTGATCACAACAAGAAGACACAACATGGCCAGACACACTTGTCACCCGAGTGTGCATCAGGGACATATTGGAGATGACCGCAAGATTTCTCAGACCCCTAGGTATCAGGGTAGCCCACAAACCAACAACCACCCTGCGACACCCCAGCAACGTAAAGGATCCCTTACCCAAAACCAATGAAACTAACATAATTCAAAATACCATGCAAGGACTGTGAGAAACATTACATAGACCAAACTGGAAGGAAACTGACAATAAGGATACACGAACACCAACTAGTCACCAAGAGACACGACCAATTCTCATTGGCCCCAATACACGTGGACAAAGAAGGACATGAATTCGACTGGGACAACACATCAATAATAGCACAAGCTAAACAGAGACATGCCAGGAAATTCCTGGAGGCCTGGTATTCCAACCAGAAATCCATCAACAAACACATTGAACTGAACCCGATATACAAGCCACTGAAAAACAGAACCAGAAGTGATGCCAACCAGCCCAGCAAACCGAGGCATATAAATAACAAGTGGGACAGAACACCAATGCTTCATCAGAGGTGCACTGATGATGTTACCTAGCAGGGTGACGAAACGTCTGCCATCAAACACGCTGGCTCGGCAAGCAAGTCTACAACCTCAATATAGGTATATCCACAGGATAAGTAATTTTCACTCAAAAATGTTAGTTTTTGTACGCACAGTGATTAATGGATACATGTGTCATTGTTCAAACGAACTTTTATATTTTGTAAATGGTTTGTGGCACTGGGAATGGAAGGTTTGCGTTATAAAGATAGGCTGGGACGTTTTTCACTGGAGCGTTGGGGATTGAGGGGTGACCTTATAGAAGTTTATAAAATCATGAAGGGTGTAGAAAAAGTGAATAGACAGTGTCTTTTCCCTAGGGTGGGGGAATTCAAAACCAGGGGTATACTTTTCAGGTAAGAGGAGAAAGATTAATAAAGGAAATGAGGGTGACATTTTTTACACAGAGAGTGGTTTGTTTGTGGAATGAACTGCCAGAGAAAGTGATGGATGCAGGTAGAGTTACTAGTTAAAAGACATTTGGATAAGTACATAAATAGGAAAGGTTTGGAGGGATAACAAGGTGTAGAGCTGGATGAACACAGCAGGCCAAGCAGCATCAGAGGAGCAGGAAGGCTGATGTTTCGGGCCTAGAGGCATATGGACCAAATGCAGGCAAGTGAGATCAGTTTAGTTTGGGAAACTTGATTGGCATGGACAAGTTGGACTGAAGGGCCTGTTTCCATGCTGTATGACACTATGAGTCTACAACTTACCCATATATTGATAATTAGAAGCAGTTTTTTTTAATATTGTGCAAGTATATGGAATTTGCAAAATAACTGTCCTTGACATTGTGTGATCATGGCATTGTTTTCCTCAAAGAAACTGTAAGTTGAAAAGGAAACATAAAACCTACTGAAGTTGCAGAAGATATAAACTGAAGACCCCTTTAAAAAAAAAAAATCTTTGGATATGGTTGACACTGTGGCAGAGTTTATTTTCCAATATTTTTTGTTCTTGAAATGTGGTGGTTAACCTTATCTTTCAAGTCCTGTAATGTCTCCACAATGCTCTGAAATAAGGATTTCTAGGATATTGGCCCAGCCACAATGAGAAATGGTGATATTCAAAATCAGGAGGACATGTGACTTTGAGGTCAACTTAGAAATAATGGTGTTCAAACACAATTGTTCTCAGAACATAAAAAAAACTGGGATTGCCTTTTGATTCCTTTTGCCTGTTTTGCCATTCATAAAGATCATGGCTGATCTTCATGTCTGATTGCAGTGTCCCACACTGTCCCCATCTCTCTTAATTCCCTCAGTATTTAAAAAAACAATTTCTTAAATTCTCATCAATTGCTGCTGCTTTATTCTGAGACTCCAAATCTCAGTTCCAGACTCCAAAGCCAGAAAAATATCCTCTCAGCATCAAACCCCTTTGAAATATTATATAATTTAATGAGTTCATATTGCTTTCTTTTAAATTGGAGGGAAAAGAGTCAATCTATTCGATCTTTACTAGTAAGTGTCACTAAGTTTGTTGTACTCCATGACTTTCTGTCACTTCTCCTGACTGGGTGCCCGGAGATGCGCTGTTACTCCTCCTTGCCGTGGAGGCGCTGTCACTCCTTCTGGCTTTGGGGTTGCAATTGCTTCTCCTGTTTGCAGCCTGCTGATACTCTTCCTGGCCGCGTGGGGCACTGCACTGATACGCTCGGTCAGCCGCCGCTCTTGCCGCCAGTCCAAACCAATAAAGGAAAACAAGCGGCAGAATTTGAATTGAGAGCTCGTTGTAACTGCCGGAGGAGACCGGGTCTGCGGTCACTATCGGCGTCGGCATCGGCATCGGCATCGGCTTCGGCTTCGGCCTCGGCCTCGGGCTCGGGGAGTTAGGCTCGACACACGGAATGGTCGAGGCAGCAATAGTGCCGGCGCTGGCGGATCCGATCGTGCCCGAGCTGACGGTACCCGGAGAAGGTGAGGGCGGGAGGAGGAGACCTCGAGACCCCCGACCCGGGCTGTCTGCACCGGGAGGAGGGCACCGCTGCCCTATTCTCCGTCCCTTGGTGTGAATCATCTTCAAAGATACTGAGAGGCTTCAGCATCCTCCATCAGAAACTAACAGCACTGCCGTTACCCCGTATCAATAATAATAATATAATTTTAATCTCCTGAATAGTAACTGTTGACATTTCAAAGGGACTGTCTCGGATACATTTGTGAACTTGAACTAACAATATTCGCTAATCGTGACTGTGAGCCTAACAGTGAGAGTTGTGAAGATGATAGTATTAGATGGTCTCTCCAGCACAGTAACCGACATCTTCATTTAACCCCTGTACGTTTCTCCCTTCAGGCATCTATCTGGTTTCCTGATAGGCAGTGCAACATGTTGAAAACCAGTTTGTTGAGATAAGCCAGTCAAAGTTATTTGCAACGTTTTACTCTGTGTGACACATCTCGTTATGGCCACCACAATAATCAATTATCTGTTTTCTTGTTAGATTTGTTCCTTGGGGTATTGAAGTGAATGTATTTATTCCCATGCCTCGACATTCTAAAGAGTAAACTGTGTGTATTGACGTTGTAGTGGTGTCTAGGCAGGGTTGGATCAGGGTTCAGGTTCCCCAGCCTGAAGGCTTCGATCAACAAATTAGATATTTACAAACCCTGTAAGTTTCATGGTCGTTCTATGGTGCTAGCCTCTAAACTACCATATTTTAAAAATTCAAGTTCACAACTTGTCTGGCAGGATTTGAACTGTCAATAGCTCAATGGCGCAGTTCTGTAGCTCAAGGAAACCATATTTTTTGCAATAATAACTGTAGGAATGCTACATATAATGTTTTACACTCTTTATAAACAATTGTGTATTTTGGTATATTATTTTTTCAAATATTGTTCTATTCTTGAAAGCCCTCACCAACTCAAACTTGACAACTTCCTTCAATGGGCATTGGTGTTGTTGACAATCCTAATGGATCTATTAGCCAGAGATAGTAGGAACTGCAGATGTATTAGCCATGCATTTACTTGTAAAAATTGAGCATGGATTCTCGTGAATTATGGTCAGTAGTACTTTGCTAGTTGATCTTGCAAGGTTCAATCAGCTATTCTTCAAAGTAACTCTTATGCCCTACTTGATTTGTTGCAAATTCTGTAGCTAAATACCATGAGAGCAATCATATTGTAATATTGTATTTAAAACTGAAACTAGCTAAACAGGATTTCTATTTGAATTGTGTTAGGAATTGTACTTGACAACAAATGTTATTCATTTTATATCTGACTGTATTTCAAGATCAAGCGGAAATTAAAGGCAGTCATGACAGTCCTGAAAAGGAAAATCTGTTGAATCCAGGAGCAACCAAATTTCCAGAAGTTATTGAGACAACTCAACTCACCTATTACGAGCGATACAGGGTCTACCAGGATTACATCTTGGGTTAGTTTTTTTTAAATCATATTTCTAAATATAATTGTATATTGCTATAAGTAGTATAGAATGAAAGTGATATTGTAACATAAATCCAGATCTTGAAAATGAGAAGTTTAGAGAATGCAGACGCTCAAAAATATTTAGCTTCGGTATTAGAATTAAAACGTGCAGAGGGATACAAGCCAGACTAGAGAAGGAAGAATGATTTTCCACTGGCAGTTTAGTAACAGTACGTAGGGGCCTCAAAGTGACATCTGATAAAAGGAAGTAACAAGTTAGTAGGAATTTGGCACAGGCTTCATCTTGCAGTCATCGCAAGAGCGAGCATGGTGTAACAGAGAGGCTGGAGCAGCAAGGGCAAGTAGCATATAAAGCCAAGAAGAGGAAGAGGAAAAGGAACCAGAATTGTGGAGGCATTCCATCAGGACCTTGGCACTGGAACAGAAAAATATGTTGGTGGGGAAAATGTCATTGTAAGCTGACTGACCACCTGCCATTGCCCCTCTCTAAGGATTTGGAGCCCTTCTTGAAGAGGAGCAGTAGAGTGAGACGTTAAAGCAGAGGTGGCAGGGTGCCATCATCAGGTCAATATACAGAAAAGCGCAGAGGACACACACAGCCTCCTGTGTAAAGAAGAGGCTACAGCTTCAAAAAGGTCTACCATCTGGGGCTTAACTACCTATGGATGTCGGAGATCCAATGTCTCTGCAGACTGTGCCACTCTGGGGAGGCTGTTGCTGGTGTCCCAAGCTGTATGGTAAGCTCGGGCCTGTAGGAATTGGAACTACCTGTCAGTGGTGCTGAAGATCACAATGGCATTTAACTTCTGTGCTACCAGGTCATTCCAGTTATCAACAGGTGATTGGTGTAAGATCTTGCAGTCTAAACTGCATCAATGCATCAAGATGGTCACCAAAGCACTTTTGAGAGCACTGCTTCCACACCAGTCCAGATATTCAAGCTGATAGACCCATTGCTGGATACCTCCAGTTGCACGGTGTGAGTGACTGTGTGCAGATGATCCTCAAGGTGCTCTCAGAGCAGCAAGCTGCCTTTTTAACAGGAAGGCTTCCAGCGTCTTGATTGTAAAACCGTGATCACTGTGAAAGGATCCTTTTGATGTGTGTATGTTTCTTGGGAAGCAAGACCTACATGCTTCAGCGGCTCCTGGTGTCACAGCTTATCTGGTCCCTGCATGCCTTCAAGAATGGATACTGGGACATAGCTACTTACTCAGATGTGGAATCGCACGTGGATGCTGAGGGAATGTACAACACTCCATGGGGTAACTGGAGCGAACATCAAAAAGGCTCCTAAAGAAGTGGTTCAGATGCCTTGATTGATTTGGTGGAGTTTTTCAGAATGTCACATTATGTAAATCATTCAGTGTGATGGCCCTTTGTCCACTGTACAAAAGCTGCTGTAGAAAGGGGGGGGAAGTGTTGAGCAATAAGGATCTCGTGGATTGTAGTTCCTTCATTGCAGGGTATCCGACTCTGGGGACCACAGGCAATATGAAGTATGATGTGTTTGAGAAATTCAGTCCTTCCAGTCTGATGGGTCTAAAGCTTTACCTTTCTTCAGCCCAGTTGTGGCCCATTTTCCATTACTGCGTCCTGGTGCTCATTGCATATCAGCAAGGATAAAGCGTTTAGTACATATGACAGTCTGCCTCTTGAGAGAGAGGAGAGAGACAGAGTTTCACAGAAGTACCAAATGCAGCAAGAATTGAAAGATGTAGTGTGAAATGCATTAATTCTTTATTAAGTGCACAACCAATGCAAGGCTTAATATTCAGAAGCTTTATTCACCTGTGAGCTTCAATTTGAGCTAGTTGTTCTCCTTAATTTCTACTTAGTACACCCTCTGTGCTTGCTGCTGACAGTGACTTCTGGGACAGGAGAGGCCTCTAACTGCCCAAGGCTTAGAGGGCCCTGCCTTGATTAGGGATTTCTGCCTAGATTGCAAACCTTTCCCTATCCCTGAAGCTACTGTAGACGCTGGTGTCAATGGCAGAGGGGCTGGAGCCACCGGGAGAGGAACCCCAGATAGAAGAGGAAGCCAGTGTTCCTCCCTTGAAAGGTACACCTAGACTACATAGCTGACATGCAAAATGTGCAGACTAACGCCAATCCCAAGCTTACTTTCTCATTTCCACCTAGAATTCATGGAGAAAGTGATGGCATGCAAGTTTGCACATATCGATGGCATCCACTCCGTGTTCTGCAGAATGTGGTTCTCATTGAGATATGACTGCTGGATTCCTGATGCTTCGTAGTTTTCCTGGCAGACAGACAGACCGCATTAAATGCAATGACATGCTGGAGTGTCACCCAATGTTGCGTCCACTATATCTCTTCATGCTTCTTTGTTCTGTGGTCAGTTCGGCCCCATCCCACTGTTGATTGCTGTTGCCACTGGGAATGTGTATTGATTCCACAAGTAAACGGAAGAGACACTTTCCTGTCCTTGTGATAATTGGGAGTTTAGACTAAGAAAAAATATCGCAAAGCTATTTCTTTTGCTTGCATTGTTAGGTTTGAGGAATTAACTTTTAAAATTTTGAAGTGAATAAGACTTTTTATTTGGGTGATATCTATAATAGAATAGATAATACAATATCCATGGAAATCATTCAAATGGCATCTATCATTTTGTTCTTGTTGCATATTTTTTGTGTTGAACTCATTTTGCAGAATATTAAGTAAAATTCTTGATTGGAATGTTATGTTAAAGTAATTGAGGATTAACTGTTCATGATTTTTAACACACAGGTGATACTAAACCATCGGAAGTGAAAGATTTCATTGCAGAATACTTGGAGAAGGTCCTCGAACCGTACGGATGGCAAGCACTCTGGTCCAATGATATGTTTGAAGTCCTTGTTGAGGTATATGTCTCTTAAATAAATGCATATGGTGATGCTAACTACTGCATTTTGCACTTCTGCTTGCAGTACTGCACAAACACATGTGTTCTGTAAGATCTTTGGGCTTCAACCCCTTGGTTATACCGATTTAAAGTGAGGTGTTTTGGGTGTACCTTGAGGAAAGTACAAACATTATTTACTGATTTAGATCTATGTTGAGCCATTGTCAATTTTAAATTTCTGACCTTAATACTTCTGTATGACCTTTTGTATTTCAAGCATTCTTCAGGCACCAAAAAAAACTTGTCTAAATTTGACTAACTAGAGATTAAAGCTATTCAAATCACTGGTTCACTATTTCCCATGGCTGGATTTTCAAATGCTGGTGGGGATGGGGATGAGTGTAGGCATAACTTGAATATTGCATTCCTAGAGGGTTGAGGAACACAATACAATTTTTAAAGGGAGTAGATTCAAAAACCTGAATACCTCCCCTTAAGTATTCTGAGTTCATTAGTCAGCTTCCAAGGAGTAGGTTTTGAACTTTCCTTTGGCAAGTGCAGGGGACGCAGTGTCTTGGATAGGCCTGGGTTCAGCTAGCGTGCACACTGGGAGTCATGAGGTCTAATACGTAGGCTGGCCAACTCACTTAAAATAGGGAATCCTTGTGCAATATTTCACCATAGCTGGTATTGAGATACTGGTATTTATCAATGGTGAGAAGTAGAATCCTGACAGAGCTGCCAGCCTGCAAGTGTCACATGGCAGCAGAGATTGGCAGGGGAAGCCTTGGTTAACAGCCAAGTTCCAACAGTGGGAGTGGAAATAGGTGCAGGTTACTTTTGTTATTAACTGGAGGAGCTTCAGCGAGGTATTCTCCTGGTCAAAGTGGCGCCAGAAGAGCACAAAGTATTCTGGTCTCAATAATTTCTACCAATGTCTCAAGAAATTTGATGCTGTTTATAGTTGCCTGTACGTGTCAGCCTGGAACCCCTCTTGCTACATGTTCTCAATCAATGGCAAGCCTAATCATGGTTGTCTCTTGCCTTATCATAGGGCCCTTGGTTTCAATGTTCTGCTTTTGGTTTACTCTTGGCTGCCTGATTGGCATCCAATCTTGCTTCTTGGTCAATTTATGTATTTATTTTGCATTTGAAAATATTGTTGTTGAACTTAGAACCCTGAAATTTTCTGGACAGCAGAATCCCAACCTCTGGAAAGAGGTTAGGAATTTGGGTAAGAACCCAGTTTTCCTTTTTGTATTTTAGGTCTTCTTGTTCCTTTTGTTCAATAGACGGAGCAAAACATTTCCATTTGTAAGAAAAAATTAGGAATTTCAATTTCTATCCTGATCATCATTCCTTTTTTATAATCATTAACGGGATGAGGACATCGTTGGCTAGGTAGCATTTATTGTCCATCCTTAATTGTCCAGAGCGCAGATCAGAGTCAACCACATTGCTGTGGGTCTGGAGTCACATGTAGGCCAGACCAGGTAAGGATGGTAGTTTCCTTCCCTAAAGGACATTAGTGAACTAGATGGGTTTTTCCAACAATCGGCAATGGATTCTTAATTCCAGATATTTTTATTGAATTCAAATTCCACCATCTGCTGTGGCAGGATTCAAACCCTGGTCCCCAGAATGTTATTTCAATCTCTGGATTAATGATCCAGTGATAATTACACTAGGCCATCGCCTCTCCCTGAATAGCTTTGATCAGTTATCCACCAAAACTCATTTTCTCAGGAAGATCTCTTCCGCAGCACCTGTCTCTAGCTCTGACTTATTCCATGTGGATTCCGTCAGAAATTCCACCCTTCATTTTTCTGATCCATCATAATTACAAATAAAAAGATATTCAGTGCTTCTTGACTTGTTGCTCTCGCCAACTTCCTGAGATCACGTTCATTGCACATACCACCACGTTCATAAGGACCCATTATCTACAAATGAAAGCAATGTGCTTAAGCCTTATACTTTTATTTAATTATCCCAGGAGCTTGAGGAGCCTATAGTTCCCTGTTGCTTTCTCCATGGCAACCCCTCAGCCAATAGGAGACGACTAACAGCATTCCCTCCTGTAGTTTAAATCATTGTGATAATTTCAAATTTGATATTCTTGTGATTATACTGATGAATGCAACAAGAAAATGCAGCTTTTCTTCTTCTCAAGCATTAAGGATTACTGAGCTTCAACAGCACTGTGTGTCAGTGTCCAGCTGGGCTCTCTCTCTACTTCATTCTCTTTTGACTTCATTCCTTTCTTCTAAGCTCACCCCTTGCCATGTTTTCACTATTCCCTTTGACCTTCTATTCTCTGATCCTGAAAGATCAATCTGACCTTCATTGCTTTATGCCCACACCATCATGCATTTCAAGCTCAACGTGGCAAGCATTTGCATTCTTTCAGATGCAACACCACATATGACACTGAAAATTTTGTCTTCCATTCAGTTTTGGGGCACAGGAGGTATTAAAATCAGAGAGAACAGATGCAGGTTAAACTTTGCTATAATCACTGATTAAATCACTAATACTTTGTATGTCATTTCTAATCATTATTCTTGTTATTCAGCAGAGCTGCTTGTGTGGCTTTGAATCAGTTAGCAATTGCAGAAGACACTGAAGTTAACCCAGTATGCTGGGAATCAACCTTCACGAAAGAAATTCCACCTCCAGGGCTACAGGAAGAGTGTTAGGGTCTTCTCTGAGAGGCTATGAACAGTAGGAGGAAAAAGCACCAAGGCCAAAGGTGATCAGCCACAATTGTGGAGATAGAAATTGATCATGACTGAGGCCATGTAGTTTCAGTAGCTTCATAAGCATTCAAGCTTCAGGAAGTACGCAACTTCTATTAGCAGAAACCAGCTGTCTGCAACATCTTTACAACGTGTTAAGAACTTCAAGATGAACTTGATACATTCACACGTAACTTCGAATCTCGGAAGGAGCCAAACAAGAGGTAGTTCAACAATTACAAATAGCTAGTGAAAATCTGTCTAGGCAAGGGGATACAGTTTAGTCCAAGTTGAATGCAGCCAATATTGAATGTGCAGAAATTGTTACTGTTTATAAGTAGCAGCCACAGTCTGTGATCAAGTACTTCCATGGCTTGCTGATGCGACTAAAAAGTTTTTTTTCTCAGTAAAGTGGCAGAGGCATAAACTGCAGTGTTTCTGGAACTTGGGAGTGCCTTAGAGATGCATAAAGCTTGCATGAAATGATGCTCGAGCGTATAAAGATTCAACTAAAAAGCCTGAAATAGACTGCTAAACTAAGCCCACCTACTGGCAGTTCTCAGCAAGAGATGCCATTGCAGACTGGTCCAGCGCAGAGATGACCATTCAAAGAATCATACAGTACAGAAGAGGCCCTTTGACCCATTGAGTCTGTGTTGACCAAAAAAAGTATTCCAAATCTGCACTAGCCTCATTTTCCAGCACTTGACCCTTAGTCTTAAATTTTACGACATTTCAGGTGGCCAACCATGTACTTTTTAAAGGTTGCGAGGTTTCCTACCTCGAAAACACTCCTAGGCAATGTACTGTGTGCGCGTGTATAACAACTCCTTCATCATCAAGGAGTCATGATATATTGTGTATTGGAGGTTTGCCTTTTGAATCCATTTTTCCTTGATTAATTGCCGTTCCATTCAAGTCAACATAGTTATCACAGCTCAGGAGTCAGCTGTTGTGTGAAGCTGCCATCCTACTCCACCAACTATTAATCTTCCAGGGAAGAAATAATAGAGCATTTATGTCCCAAATGTACTCTGAGAGTTTGTGACGATACTATGGCTTTGAGGTGTATTTTGTCCTGTTGTTTTTCATGAAGAAAGGTTAAGACGGAGGCTTTGAGCAGTCTGCTCCAAAGCCAATAAAGTAAACAGCTTGTGAGGCCTTGGAGTTTTCTTTCAAAAGTTGGAGTAATAGAAGCAGTCTGAATGGGTGAGGTCAAGCTCCCACAGAACCAGGATTTTTTTTTTTTTAGATTTAGCTCTTAGTAGAAGTTGCTGAGATCTTGAAGCTGGATCTTATTCCTCCCTCTGTTACAGCTAAAAGCTGGGGTTCTCTTCCTGCTGCTAGAATTGCATATGAGACCATCTATTTTACTGAATTTGCCTTTGCCAAGAGTGTGTTTATGGGATGTTACTAAACTGGAACAGTTACTGTTTAGTAATTAAATAACCTATTGTTCTGCATTTAGTTTTGCAGCAAAGTTAAATTATTCCAATTTCTTCTTTCTTTTGTTGTGTTCTAGCCGTAGTGTATGAATAAAGTGTGTTTTCCTTCAAGACTGTTAGTTTGACCAATCAAATTGCATTTGAAATGCAAAACCTAGCACTTGTCTTTAAAATAAGAAAAAAGTTAGGGTCTAGGCTTCCTTGTATTTTGAGGGGGTTTGGTCTGGTCCATAAAAAGTTGAAATACTGTTGGAGATTGCCTCATGCGATGGAGACTGGGTGGGGGAATGTGATGGTGGAAATACTGAGTTAAATATTAATAATTAAAAGAGGTATAAAGAAAGAACTTGGGTGTGTTAGAGAATGTGGAATGAAAAGTTAACTTTTTTTAAAGCTCTACTGAGCATATGGTAAGGAGCTCTTTCATAATGATATCAGATCATGTGGAGCTGGGATCTGACTGAATAGTGTTCCAGAGATGTCCTATATTGCACCTCTTGCACAAGGTTATGTTCAATAATGAATTATTGATGCTTATTAACATGGGTGTGTACTACTTTCTATCGAGAACACAAACCTAATTGTACGATACTATCCACAACACCTTCCCATGCACACTTTGAAAATGCAATATTTACTTTTTTTTATCCAAACCTTTCCCACCTGGTCCACAAACAATGTTTCCTAATGAAACAGCAATTTCCTTGTATTTCCTTCAATTTAAGTACACTGTGTTGAAAATTTGTCACGTGGTTTCCTTGTTATGGGGGAAGGCAAACACAACTTTTTGACCACTGTGGAATCATTCAGTCTTCAATCATGAGTTTCCAGTTGCTTGTTGTTTTAATTCTCTGCCCAACTCTGTCCTTTGTCTCCTACATGGGAGCAATGTAGCTCAACACAAGCTAGATTTCTGTTCGATACGTTACGAAATTAAGTCCAGTAGACTATTCAACAACTTCAGATCCTCTTTCCTCAGATGATGGCTGTTGATTTTTGCCATTTCTAATTTTCTCTAGTCTTTCTTTTGTTTACTGTTACTCATGCCATTACCATATCCTTTTTCATTGAAAATGTTTGAAAAGTCGCAGACTGAAATGTTAACTTGGTTTCTCCTTCCACAGATGCTACTGTATGTGTTGCATGTTTCCAGCATTTTCTGACTTTATGTAGCAAAACCAAATCTTTGACTTGCCTCACAACAGGGGACATAGTCTGTGATTTTTGCAACCTTCTGCCTAAATCCTTAAAAATACGTGTGGCCATTTTAAACTTGGCAGAGTAGATTGTGTGCTTCCATTGTAGTTTCATACCTGCCTAGCTTTTATCGCATTGAAGCTGCAGTCACAAGTAATTGCGGATAAGATGTTGATATTGACCCTCAGCTTGGTGAATTGAAACTACCTTTGAAAATTTGTATTCAGTAGATTATCCAAGGTTGCTTGACGGAACATGGAATTGTCTAGGAATCATAGGGTAAATTTTCCATTTGAGTGCATCCTTACATGAACTAATCATGTTGGAAAGTTATTTTTATATGCAGTCCAGAATTTTCTGTTAATTCCGTTGAAATGTAACAGCTGTAGTTCCATACCAGAAGTTTTGCCAGTGTAAAATATACACTTATGTTTGGTTTGCTTGCCTCACACACCCATCTCCTGCACTGTCTTTTACACTCAAAAACGATAAATTCAGTAAATTAATTTTACATAATGTATTCATGTCTTTTTTTGCCTCAAATTAGCTATCTGCAGTTATTAAGAACTTGTGCAGAAATTCATACTTAATCAAAATTTTATTCAAACATCTTGAATGCAAAGTTGCTGATGTTGTTTAATGTTTAATTTAGCTAAATTATTTTAAGCCTGTAAAAACAAAATACTTTGTTTAATTCCTGTGGTCTTCTGGATTAGATTACCTATTCTACCTCAATGTGTGTTTTACCACAAAAACTAGTCCCCTACTACATCGGTATAAATATCCCCTCCTTCAAATAATCACCAACAACCATCCTATCTATCATTTTGTTCTGATAGCAGTCATTGTAAACGTGCTTAAAAGACACTTGTGTTTTGCAACAAGTATGTTTCAAAAGCACCAGTTATTGAAATTGTGTGTTAATTAAACTGAAAAAAGTGACATCATACGTTGAGTTTGTTCTATTTTTGAAAAGAAAACTACTTATAATTTCAGGTGACCGATGTGGAGACTTCAAGTCACAAAGCTGTGGTAAAGTTAAGCGAACCATTCCTTTATGAGTCTGAAGCATATCCTCTTGATGCAGAAGCAATGGAAAGTTTTCTTGAGGCGAAAAAGCACTTGGTGCCATTGCAAGAACTATACGTGGTGTCTGATGAGTCAGGAGAGTTTGATCAAACTGCTCTTGCCATTGAACATCTTCGGTAATAAATTTGATAGATTGTTTATTTGATTTTTTAAAAAAGTTCAAAAGAATTCAGACGATTGATTTATGTTTGATAACGTTTTCTCTTTTGGTTTGTGGTGTTACTGCTAGACATACTGCTACTGTTAGACATTAGCTCTAGTTTGTTGACCTGTAACACAGGCAGGATTTTAATTTTGTTTGAGTATTTGTTCAATTATGAAGCATGGTTCTTTGCTTAAGGGTGAAGGAAACAAAAATCAAACAGCAGGATGAAAACCTAATTCTAGGAAATTCTAAATCAAGGGGATGCTTTGGCATGCTGCGACAGTGATACTAGTATTAATCTACATTAAATCAGGAAGCCTTTCATATCCTTCACTTTTTTTACATTAATCTTTAGTTAACAAAATAAATGATTGGATTCAGAGACTTGTATAAAGAAACTTTATATGAATTTTCTACAGCCTCAAAAAATTTTTTCTATTTAAAGAAATGTTCAGCAGAAGTTAGATGATAGTATGCTATTAAAAACCCAATCATTCAGCAAGGTTTTGTGTTGCATTCTGGTCAGGATAGTGCATCAATGATGTACCCTATAGAAAAACCTCTAGATTTCTGCTTTATTCAGCACATGTGTGGACTCCAGAAGATGCTATCAATTTCAATGGGAGTATTGATGGTTTTGTTGATTGATTGATTGATTGATTTATTACTGTACAATCTAGAGCACTGCTAGTGCCAATATTCTGGCCAAGACATATAACTGATTTATGCAGTCAATGGTCTTTATTGCATTAACACAATGTAGAAATTGAAGCATCTGTTCAGTTCTGCATTGCACAAGTTGCAACTTAAAGTTGTGGAACATAATTGATTGTCAATCATTTTATAAAATTGCATCTGGTGGATGAAGCTTCCTAGGATATTTTCCAACTTTTCAACACTATTTTAAATCCTGCATTTGTTTAGGTGATCGATTTGTAGTTTTCATTTCACAATGGATTTTATTTGGTTTTTGACAACAGTTAGAAATGATCAATCGATTCAGAGCAGGTGCACCAGCTTTTATGTTAGAGCTTGTTCAAAGCAGACAGCTCACGACTGAAGAAAAGTTGCTCAGAAAGCTTTCTCCTGGAACTCTTCCTAGCCACATTTGCTCAATAATTAGTTGAGATTTTAATGAATGATTTCACTGGCTGCTCTAAATGGTAAATTTTGATTATTTTCAGTACATCTGATACAAGTAAGTTCATTTCATTTGTGTGTTTTTACCATTTTTGCGGTTGGTTGCAATTAGTATAAATTGTTTCATATTCATGTTTTGTAGATTTTTCTTTCTCCACATCTGGAGAAGCTGGGATGAAGATGATGAAGATGATTTTGATTATTTTGTCAGATGCTGTGAACCAAGATTAAAACTGTTAGTATGGTTTGCCAAGGTTTGACACGGTCAAGTTTTGAAAATTTCCAGAATATTTCGAGTTCATTCAGCACTTCTAGAGTTAATGTAATTTTCAATTACTCGGTGATGAATTTAGAACAGTGTTTCCTAGAAATGTAGTGAGATTTCTTTAAGGCCTGCCACCATTTTAATAGAAATCACAAGCTTACTGTGTTCAAATATGTAATCTCTGCAATGTTGGATAACTTCCCTTCTGCCCTGATGTCAACACATCAGAATATCATGTTGTCAGAAAATAACCTTGTGAACCTTTAAAATTCCATCTGTAGTGGTCAATTAAAAGCATGGAGCAAATGTTAAAGATGCGGTTGACACAAACGTTCTGTAGAAACTCCATTTATTACTTATTTTATGTGGTAAAAAGCATTGAGATGCAGTGTATAAATGTTTTGAAATTAAGTGCTGGAAATACTCAACAAGTCATGAATCAGAAATGTAACTTGGTTTCCCTGTCAGTAGATGCTGCCTGACTGGTTGAGTATTTCCAACATTTTCTTAATTTCAGATTTCCAAAATCAACAGTACTTTGCTTTTGTATTTTTTAATATTATTGATTAATTTTAGTGCCATCTGCACAGCTGTTGTTCACAAATCCTCAGAAGTGCAGTTTAGAGGGAATATTGCTGATAGCCCTTGCATATTCATTGTCTGCTTCACGTTTTAAATCTTGTTCAATTTTACTTAAGTTGCAACTGTCAATGAAATTAGATAGTCTAGTGAATTGTGACTATATGACCTTCATAACTGTATTCTGTATTTTATGAAATCCTCCTTAATTTTTAGCCTGTTTCTTATTCTGCCCGAGGCTGGGTAATAATCCTTTATTTCACTGTTCATTTTCAATGCTCTTTTTGGGATAGCAGTGTTTGATTCATGGCACCAGATGGTGCTCTAAGCAAACTGAAATTTGATCTTTGCTTGACAATATTGAACTGGGGAATCTATCAATGATTGGATTGTGATAATGTTCTGGAATGCACAGTAGTTTGTTGTTCTCTACTTTTTCCCCCCTCTATTGAAAGCCTTGATTCCTTGTTGGGGTGTATTTCTCCAATGCTGTTTTGGTACTTAGCCCTTTTTTTGTATTTGTGTTAAAGATGTGCTATATTGACAGGCTACTTCACAGTGGAGGGACAATATTTGAAAGTTTGGTCCTGTCATTGGTCAGTATTCAAAAGCCGTTGCTGGGTAGCAGTTAACCAACTATCCCTTTCCACTGTGGCTCTGAGGCTAATCATTATGCTCCCCAGACTGCTCTGACAAAAGTTGGCTAACTCTGAATGGACTGAAGATTGGATTTTATTTTTAATTTATTAGGACCATGGACCGTGATTTATTTTTAAGCACTGCTGTGGAAATTGACACCTGAATGTAGTTTTCAAACAATAATCATCAAAACCCTTCATCAAATTAACAAGTTCTGGAATCATACTTTTATCATTTTCACCTGCAACTAATTAGGTTTCAGAGATTACACCAGAATTGAGACTGAATGTGAAAATATTTCCGGAAATATTTTCACAATGTCAAAATCATCTGTAATCCTACTAAACAAATTGAAAAATGAGTTCAACAGTACCTTTTATAGATTGTATAAAGGGGAATGTGCCTGTGCTGGTTATGAAATTAAGGATACAGTTTTACTGGAGAAAGCATCCACTTTTGTTTTTGAATTCAGGTACTATGATATTCTTGAAGATCGTGTACCTGCTGATCTTGTTGCCGAATATAATCGGCTGTTGTCCCAGTGTGAGGAGACGTACAAGGAATTTGTAAAAGTGAGAGAGAATATATCTGGTAGTGATTCAGCATCAGAATCTGAACTGAATAATGTTTCCATGGTGGAAGGAGTTCAACTTTGTGAACAATTGGAGAAGCTTAAATATAAACTTCGAGTAATGGAGACCCCATTTTATAGGTAATTGATACTTGGTTTCACTTCTGTTTACAACCAATGCCTTTTCTATTACATGTTAAAATTAATGGAAGGGTATATTTTTTATAAATCAGCTATTTACTTTCTTTTTAACCACAGTTCAACACTTTTGTAGCAAAATGCTAGATTTTGCAGTCACCAGTGAAGCAGCAGAGCATGCCACAGACCTGTAAGAATGTTGCTGACAAAGATTTACCATTGTCTGGTGCAGCCTTCCCCTTTCCAGATGGTTGCTTAAATCTCTTGCCAAGTCCAGTGGAGCTGCAGGTTTACAGTAAACAGGCAATCACGTTGAAATATTCTCATACGACAACGCTGGAATTTTAAAAGCACTTCATCCTTCACCTAATTTAAATTGTCATACAAAATAAGTGATTGGATTTAGAAGCTAAAATATTCATGTAAACGTTAAAAGAAATTAGTAAAAATACATGAAATTTTTACTCATCATGGAGAAATTTGATATTCTGCCAGTATAAAATTAACTTTTTTAAATATGGAAGGGTGTTGAGCAGTCATTTTGAAGTTAGTATACAGTTAAAACACCAGCTGCAGTTCATTAAACAAGGTGTAACTTTTTCAAAAGATTTTAGTTAGACTCCGTGTTTAAAGTGAAATTTTTCATTTTGATTGCTGAGAGATTCCAGTCTGTGGCAACCTCAAATGTAGAGTCTCATTGGTGATGGTATACTTTCCACTTTATTAATGACTGCTGCTCCTGTAACCCTTGTGAAGTTAAAAAGCAGCCCACTTGATTGGCATCCATCCATCACCCTAAAAATTAATTTCCACCACCATTTTTACACTGTGACAGTATCTACAAGATGCATTGCAGCAACTTCCCAAGGCTCCTTCCATAGCATTTTTCAAACCTGTGACCTCTGCCATTTAGAAGAATGGCACCAGGTGCATGGAAACATGATCACCATCACCTACAAGTTTCCTTCAAAGTCTCTTGTCTGACTTTGAAATGTTTTGTTGTTCCCACAAGCTCCCTGTCTCCAATAGCACTGAGTGTACCTATACCACATGGATAGCAGTAGTTTAAGAAACAAACTGAGCAACACCTTTTCAAGGGCATCAGAAATGATCAGTAACACCCACAGCCACGAATAAATCAGAAGATAGTTCTGGATGTCTCTGCTTGTGCGCAGTTTCCCGAAATTGTCAGTTTTTCTGAATTCGTGATGGCACCATTGATAGTTTCACCACTTACCATCGTAAAATTTGGGCTTTTTCTTTGTCTACATCTTGTACCATATTCATTTGTCTAAATAGAACACCATTATATAGACGTGTATCCTGTAGAGGATGTGACTTAAAACACAAGTCTGAAGTGATCTTTGATTTCAATATTTTAAAATGCTAGGAGTATTTCTGAGAATATAAAAGGGGAAAGCATCATTGAAGCAGCTGAAGCTCATTGGGCCTAAAATATCGCCTGGAGGATCTCCTACAGGATGTCCTGTACTGAGATGACTGATGAAGATTGGGAGAAATTTGGCTAACGCTGTTAAAAATCTGAAACTCAAATCCTAACTGCGAACACCAATAACTGTAAGAACATTTATTTTTAGGTATGTGCTATGTCAGGATGGCTATGGGTTCCCAGCAAAGCAGGCTAAAGGACTTCGTCCCTCAGGTGAAAATGTTATTCATGTAGTTTCAAATTCTGTGACAATTACTCTGCTGCAGTCTCTGCTGAGGGAGAAACTAAACCCGGACTGTGTGACTCAGGAGCATGTACTCGAGGTAATGATTTTCACAACATTTAATGTATGAAATGTTAGTTGACTCCATTACTTTCAGAAGAATTGCAGGGTGGACAAATTTGTAATCCTTTTACAAAATGTGTTTTGGCATGATGAAAAATTAGTTGTTTTATTCACCAGAATTATTTACTTTATATGTGCTGTGGTGTGTTGCTATATATGGTGTTGCTGGTCTTGAATAATGGCAGTGCTTGTTATTCAGTGAGGGAGTAACCTAAACCAGGAATTGCATTCTAAGGTCCAACTGAAACCCTGGAATGAGCTGATTGGATTTGTGTTTAACATGTGTACTGATAATGTGTACTACAATGGAGTGGCAGGTAGATTTTGAGCTTTGTGTAATCGAATTAAACCTGCAAACTTCTGATAGTGCTCCAAAAGGAGCTAATCTGATTGAGATTTGTCTTGGCTATTCTCAAGTTTTCATTTAAACTTTTGTAATATAAAATTTGTTAATGTGACATCATGATCAAGTCAGTTTAAGATTTAGGAAACCTTTGTGTTAACTGGCACATTTTTAAAACTTGAACCAATTATTTTCCAGGAAATATGCAGATAACTCTTTGCGTGAAAAATTCAACAAGCCCTCAATGGTGGTTCCTGTGATCATTAACTGGAGTTATGGAATTCAGTGGACATGTGTATAGCTAACATTGAAATGAAGAATTATACAACTATGATCCTTTTTTTCAACTCCTGAGTCTAAAAATTTCTTCCACAGGAAATTGTTTTATGAGTATATGAAATGTATGCTTTTGAAGTAGGAGCAAGTGTTTTACTTTAGCTACTTTTTGTCTTAGTTTCACAGTGATCCACTTCTAGCAGTAAATGCCTGTTTTGAAGGAGATGTTGTTGTTATCTGTCCTGGCCATTACTATGTGAATGGCTACTTCAGCATAGCTGATTCCATTCAAGTAGAAGGTAGGTACTCAAAGGATAAAATGTAATCTTACATTCTTTACACTGGCTTTCTTAACTGTAAACCTGGTGAACGGTGATATGTCAATGCAAGGCCACATTTACCAACTCATATAAGAGTCATGGTTTAATATAGTTCAGTTTTTATCATACTTAACTCTGTTTTTAATCTTGTGATACATGTTTATAACCAACGTTATGAATTATTCATTTCTTTGCTTGTCAAATGCAAATTCAGGACACTGTAGAATAGAGTTCTGAAGATGCGAAAGAATTGCAATATGTTGTGCTTCATTAACTCTCTTTCCAACTGTCTGATTGCATTTCAGATGAATTATTAAAGTTTTATATATCTGCTAGTTTCATTCAACAAACCACAATCAGATATGAGTAATATTGAGAGGGTAGAAGTTAGAGACAAAGGCACTGTGTATTGCTGGCAGAAGTTAGAAGAAGCAAAACAATGGACTATGAGGTCCAAATGGTGGCCAACACGCATATGACTACACAATGAGATAGAGCCTTATTTAACATGATCAAGCAATTAGGGAAAGGCAAAGCACAAATCCTTTCAGTTGAATGTTGAGAATTGCAATAAAGAACAGAACTTCGGAAAGAAAAGAAATGCAAGCTCCTGCCTGAACTAATAATTGGGAATAGCACGTGTTGGGCAAATGAAGAGTTAATAGCAGTTTTTCTGTTGGGTTATTAGGTTTAGGGATCTGCTGGATTCTCTATTCTGGTATTTAAATTCTTTTATCTTTCCATATAGGCACATGATTATAAAACTCAGCAGGAGTAGATAATTTGATACATAAAATAAGATATTTATATTTTTCAAGAATGTTAGTCATAAACATAAATATGGAGAAATTGTGTGTAAATTCTGATTAGACTACACTTTGAAGTATTGCGGTCAGCTCCGGGCTCCATATTGTAAAAATAATTTGGAAAAATTGGAAAATACACAAAAAAGATGAAGTAGAATAATGCCAGAAGTAGTTGGTTTTAGTTATACTGAGCTGTTTTCTCTACAAAAATATAAACTGATGGGTGAACTGATGGGTGAGCTCATAGCTCACTGTTCCATTGTCAATGAAGACCAGAACAACGCACCATAATTATAAAGTGGTGAGTAGGAGCAGAGGTTATGATGGGAACCAAAGACAATGGTTTCTGTTTTCCCAGTATATAACTGGAAGAATTTTTTCCGTCCAGTACTGAATGTCTCAAAGTAACTTGACAATTTAGAGACACAGAAGGGATTGAGAAAGGTGTTGATGAGGTAGAGTTGGCTATCGTTAGCATACATGTAAAAAACTCATTGTGTTTTCAGAGGATGTCGCTGAAAGGTAGGATGTTGATGAGAAGTATGACCAGTCACGAATAGATCCTTGGGGACATCAAACTTAACTGTAGTAGGAGGAAAAGCAACCACTTTAATTGATTTCCTGGTTTCAGCTAAATAAGAATGGAACCAGACTGTGCAGTCCTACGTTCCCTCTAATATTTCTTACGGTGGTGTGGTCAGCAGTGTTAAACACTGTATATAATTTGAGAAAAACAAAGGATAGTTCATCTTTCTGAACTTGGGGCTGAGAGCTATTTCGGCCCTCTTGCATGGGTAGAAACCTGCTTGCAGAGATTCAAACATTTTGGTTTGGGGAAAATGACGTGGATTTGAGAGATAGCAGAACAGTGCTGACTGTTGAGAATACAAAGATCTTGTAATGGTTTGGAAAACTTTGGTCAATGGATGCTTTTAAGAAAAATGAAGTGATGAAAGCAAATTTGAAGGAAAGAAAGGACAATTCCAGAGAGAAGAGCACAGTAATATCAGCTACAAGGAAACTAAGAAAGGAAGTTGGATGTTCAGTAGTTTACTGGAAATACTGTTTGATTGGGAAGGGGGTGTGAAGGAAGTTGGTCCCATGGATAGAGCACATGAAGGTAGATGGGAGAGGAATTCCAGTAAGATGAAAGTTTAGGGGGCAAGGCAGGATATGAAGAGGAAGTTTGGCTCAGTTATCTAGAGAAAGGGAGCAAAGTGGCTTAGAGTTTTAAAAAGTTAGATTTTAAGGAATAAAGTGATCTACAGAGATTTTGGACTTCCACCAATGCTTTGCCACCACAAAAAATCTAAATCATTTTGTGCATTGCCTGTTAGCATCATAGAGACTGTTAATATCCAACAAGTCTGTTGCAGCTTGTTGTCCACAAAATCATTACATAGTTTCTTCCTCTGTCTAGGATATGGGCTTCCTGATGACATTGTGCTGGAGAAGGAAGGTAAAGGAGATGCCTTTGTTGCTTGCACCGCCAGTTGTTTAAAAATATCCAATTTGAAATTTATTCAACATGGTGCTACAGAGGGTATTCTATGTAAGTATAGTACAGTTGTCTGCTACATTGGCTAAAGTACAGAAATCTGTAAGAATAAGACACTTTAAAATAATTTTTAAATTCCTATGCTTTTGCAAATTTAAATCAATTATTATTAGAAACCACTTCCTTATTGCAATTCTGCTTAGTTATGCATTCTTTATTTGTCATGCTTTCTTGTACTTCATTATAAATGTTCTGTTATTCTCATGCCTTCAATACTTTGAGACTCGTCAGGTTCATAGAGGAAAATTATTTCCTTTGTACACAAACTCATCTCAATGTGCTTTAAATGTGCCTTATCTCCAATACCTTGAGTGCTAGACAGTGAATTTATTTGGGTGTCGCTGTTGTTTATCCACCCTGTCCACATATTCATTCATAAGGTCAGATATGCAGTAGCAACAGAGAATGTAATTAATATGAACTGACCAGGCGTTTTCTGGGTGATCCGAAACAGTGCCATTGTAGCAAAGATTCAGCTGCTGTCTGGGAACAGCTGTGCAAGTATAAAAGAAGAAATCAAATTATGGGCTCTTGTACTGCACTGGTAATGTCCCTCACTCTGGTCCAGAAGATCCAGGTTCAAGTCCCACAAATCAGAGTTGTGTCATACATCCAAGTAAGTTCGTTAAAGAATACTGTCTTTTTTTAACAAAAAAAAAAGACACTTGTAGGGTTGGGGAAGTTGGGGACATCCTTAAGTCTGCTCCTGGGCTTTGTGAAGCTGGCCATTGAAAGGTCAAGTAGCAGGCTGTTGAGGGGTTTGTGAGACCCAACTGCTTGCCTCTCTTCTATAGTTACATCTGTGTCTGGGTATCCCTGGAGAAGAGAGTATGTGTGGTGTCCACTGGCATCCTTAAGGCTTCCATAATCGTTGACATCCAAGGGGTTTAAGTGCATTATCTCCTCCCAAGATATTCCTTTAATTTTAATTTAAGTTTGCCTTTAAAATTTGGGTTAGTTACAGTGTTGTTTTAAGGGGCTATCACTAGTTAAGTAGATTATCCAATTGAACAAAATTATTATCTCCTGTTTGGTTGTTCAACAGATTATAAAAAGGCATTTACTAAAACTGTGTGATTAAGTTAGGAGTTGTGTGCTTGTGATGTTTCACTCTAAGTAAACATAAGACTGAGTCAAGATTGACTCAATCATCCTACACCCACAGACTATGTGAAATCCAGTGCTCATCAAAGTCCAATTAATTGTAGCAAGACTTGTACTCCAGACCCTCGCAATAGAACCCAATGCGTCACTTGCCTTCTGAATTGCTTGCTGTGCCTGTATGCTAACTTTGTTGCTTGTACAAGTACACTAAAGTTACTATGAACATCCAGAATTAAAACTTTTGCACATTTTAAGAAACTATTCTTTTCTACAATTGGAAAGCAAATAACCTCATATTTCTCCATATTATACGCTATTATGTTATATGTTGCAGACTCATTTAACTTGTCTGTCTCTGTAAATATTATATTAATATGGTGGCCAGTGTTTGGAGAGTCATGAGATTATTGGCACAGAATTCCTGACTCCTGATGTGTCCTTATAGTCATTGTATTTCTAGCCAATATCAACCCACTGGGTGTTGCTGATTGGGAAGTCTGCAATGGTAATACAATTGAATGCAAAGGGAGATAATTAGATTTTTTTGTTTTGGAGATGGCCATTGCCCCGGCATAGTTAAACTTTGTCCTACTTCAATATTCCCAATTCTTTAAAGAAAAATTACCAAAGTTTGAGTTTATGACTATTGGTTATTCATAAAAAAGATCAGTTTCTTTTATTCAAAAGCATTACATTTTGCCTGAATTAAATTCATATTTAAAACTCAATGTTTTTTCATATAAATATATAGAGAGTTTTCACTGTCAAGTTAGTGTTTACTGGTTTGTGAAGTAGTGTGATGCCAACAGCGTGCTTCAATTCCCATCACTGGCTGAGGTTACCATGAAGGACCCTCCTCAACCTCTCCCCTTGTCTGAGGTCTGGCGGCCCTCAGGTTAAATCACCACCAGTATTCTCTCTCTAATGAGAGAGCAGCCCTATGGTCTGGTAAGGCTATGGCAACACAATGCAAGTACTGTTTATTCACAGTATTAACAATTTCCTCTTTGATTTTTAAGTACCCAAATGTAGAAAGTGATACCCTAAAAACAATCCATTTTTACAGTGTGCTGAGCAATTTGGGCATTGATTAATGGTTTTGCATGGGAGTGATATTAAGCAACTTGGTACTTGAGAACTGACACAAACATATCCTTGGAGACCACTTACTGGGCGATTGTAGCACTTGAGAACCAAAGTTCTATCAACCAGCAGTACATGAACAACTTGTGTGGTTTTATTGTTGCTTATAGAAAATATATTGAAGCATGCCAATTATTATTGTTTTTGTGTGATATTGCAATAAATTATTGTGCTGCTAATTGTTTTCTTCTAAAATAAATCCAGCATGAATTAGTAGACAATTGCAAGTAATCTTACCACATATCTTTTATCCTTAAATTCTTTGATATTTCAATGCATCAAAAATAAAAATCTGTACGTATGATGTACATGGACAAATTTGTGAGAATTCATTGTGCTGTGTTTTGAAGTATTGACTTCAAGGTTAGATGTGAAGTGGTGATTTTCATGTGTATGAATGGTGTTGTGGATTGATTACTATTCTCATTTAAGCTGTCCAAGTGTTCACATAAAAACAACATATTAGATGAAAATGAATGATTTGCAGAGTTATGGAGAAAATACTGGGATAGGAGATTAGAGCAGACAGCTTTTATCAAAGGTACATCATAGACATGATGTGCCAGATATCCTCTTTCTGTACTGTAAGATTCTATTATTCTGCAGGATGACTGTAGACTGACCAACATATATCAAAAATGAACAGTTACTTTGGGTGTCAGCTAACTTACTTCTGTACCTACACTGAAGTTCATTGCTATAATATTAGAAACTTTGACAGTTGAATATTGGAAGAATATCTGTTTTGTTTTCATAGAATCTTTGCTATGTGCTAAAGATCTCAATTTTTATACTGACAAATTTCTTTTAGTTAGTCTGATTTGTTTCATAAGCAAACTACACTTCAATCATTCACTGTTGTCTAATCAATCTATGTAAAATCATTTATTTGTTCTTTAATTTAGGCTATAGACTAAAGTGGAAAAACATATACAATTCTTTTGATTACTTTTTAAAAACTCTTCAGGTGTTCGTAAGGGCCAGGCTGTTCTGGAGAATTGTGTATTCCAGTGTGACACTACAGGAGTTGTATTAAGAACATCAGCAAAATTACATATGAAAAATTGTGACCTATATGGAGCAAAGGTATAGTTTAATGCCACATCTTCAGAACTACAGAAATACTGAAATGGGGTGATAATCTCATGCTTTTTAATTTTGTGGGATTTTTTTTGGCATTATGAGAAGACAGAATATCTAATTTACTCACAATGGAAGAACACAGTTTTGGTCTGAATTTGATCTGAATCTATCAGTTTCCATAACAGACTAGTTTAAAATCTATAGAAATGCCACGTCTTTAGATAATTGATCAGGGAATACACTTTCTGTGCTTTTCAAGAATCGTCTACTTTTCACTTTTAGCACACTTAGTTATACTGTTGTACACACTGGACATGATCTAAGAGGGTGTAGTCAACTTGCTGTGGCTAGTAAGATATATACAAGTATGTTTTAGATGTGCTTTCTTTCTTCCGTCTAGTTGTATCATCAGATGATGTAATTGTGAACTTTCCAGTAGCTGATTTCAGAGCTGATGAATACTAAGGAATAATGTTGCCTGTTCTTTTGGTATTAAAATTATTTGGGGAAACGTAGATATGTGAATTGTATTCTTGTGGCCATTTCTTTCAAAGATTTGAATTTAAAATATGTACATACTTTTCTAAGAAGTAGACCCAGTAAGCAACTGGAGTTTACTTGCTTCTTGAAAACACAACTAACATTGAATTTAATTAGTGTTGCTAAGCTACAGGAAATAAAGTATAAATAATTAATTGGTGTAAAAAATCAATCTAATATTATAACAGGCTATGACATATAGAGAGCCAAGATTGAAATGTTATTTTGTTGTCTTTCAAGTTTCTTTTTAGTTATTCTTCAAATGTACAGTGGAACATGATTATCAATGCTGATTTTTCACTTTGTTACGCAATGAAGTTATTTCTTTTTTTATTTCATTTTTATGTATAGTATACTTACTTACCTTTATAGTCATAAGGTGTTACAGTACTTTATACAGGACCATAATAAGACTAAAATTTAGACGTACTTAATTATCTCTGCTCTAGTTAAATTTGATTAAAGTAAAACGTATCATACCTAATGTAACCCAGTCATGCTCCATAAGGAATTTAGCACAATATTTGATCTGATTTGACGCTTATTCTGTCTGAATTGCTGATCAACAACCAATAGCATTTGGCTTAAAATGGTTTCTTGCAAATTTCTTCTCCATCTATGTCTAGACCTTTAGTTTGTTTTCTCTTGCCTTAATTATACTGTAGCAAGATCAACAAAATTCCAGACCTGACATATTTAGAATAGAAACAGAAATTGAAATAGGTTTTTCTGAAGGCATTCAAAATGAACATTGTATAATTGTTTTAACTGTGCAGTTTAAAGATTAGAACACTCCAGGAAATGTTCCTCCAAAAGAAGCAAGCAATTGGCTTTATTTTCTCTGGGGTTTTTATTGCTAAAGATGACAGTTTTGTAACTGCAGTGTGTATCTTGTGCTGAATATCATGATCTTTTCTTGAAATTGATTTACTGTAAAGAAATGCAGTTTAACATGTAAAGTTGCAGAATATTTGTAATTAAAATAATGTTAGTAATTGTAATCTTTAGTTTTCTTAGTGCACAACTACATTGAGGTAAGCACATTACATATTGTGTTATATAGCATTGTGTGTGAATATTCTCCAGCTAGAATTTTTAATCTGTAAAGATCGTCAAGCCTATTGTGCCTGCCAATTCCATTCTTCACATAATTACATACACAAGTACTCCACTCTTAATCTAGAAGACAAAAAAATGCATTCAGTATTACAGGAAATTCCTGACGATCTTGATGTAACCAGAGCTATCTAGCAGCTTCACTTCTAAGTGAAAATACCAACTTTCTCTCTGACTATATTGTCATTTGTTACACTCGCATGTTTTGGCAGCATTTTCCAATTTTTTTTCAAACAAAAGAGATCAAATTTTTGAAGATTATTGCATTTCCTGGGGAAAATCTTAAGACAGTTTTTCTAACGATGGATATCAGCTTGACACATGCAAGTTGCAGAAAATTATTGAAGTATAATTTCTAACAGACTTTCAGTTAGTCTTTGCAGTTTTCATATTAATGTAGCCAATGATTGACTCAATAATGATTTTGAACGAATCGTCATAATCTGGTTGACATGATGAAACTGAATACTTAATCCAGCATTAATAAAAGCTATGTTGGGAAAAAATAATTGTCTCAGACAAGAATTCAAATCTAGCCTTAAGTTTACAGGTACATCTATTTAGCACATCTCTGTAGAGGTACTGTACTAAAATTGAAGGTATTATTGTCCCAGAAAAATAAGTACTGCTTTATCAAACCACAAAGCATTCATCGTGATCCTGTGAACAGTGAATTGTATCTTTGAAATAATTAAGATCATTTGTATCTTACAGATTTTCACAATTATTCACTATATAACCCTATATAGGTTGTCAGAAAAATACTTTGGCTCCTGGCATCATTATTTTTGGCCATAAAGTGTACTACTTTTCTGTTCAATTTTAATAATGCTTTAGGAGGGAATGGGTGTGTTTGAAATTATAATGAAAAGTCTTGATGAACTGCAGTTCTATTTAATGCTGCCTAATTACTACTTGATTTTTTTTTCCAGGTTTTTTTGAATCTGAGAAGCCTGAGAGAAATTTTGGAAATTTACAGCAGTTCCTCTCCCTCCCTTCTCCCATCCTCTGAGTTAACTCTAATAAAATCAAATGTTGAGTGCATAGTATTGTTTCAATGGTTAAAGAAAGAGAAAAAAAAACACAGAATAACACACAAGAGATAGCAAGAACTGCAGAGGCTGGAGTCCGGGACAACACAGTGTGGAACTGGAGGAACACAGCAGGCCAGGCAGCATCAGAGGAGCAGGAATTTTGACGTTTTGAATCTGGACCCATTTCTGAAGAAGGGTCCCAACCCGCAACATCAATTTTCCTGCTGCTCTGATGCTGTCTGCTCTGTCCCTCCAGCTCTATCCTGTGTCATCTTGAATAACACACTTGGTTATGGAAATATTTTTCCAACAAAATTAAACAAACAAAAACTGGATGATGTAAATGACAATCGAGAAAATGAACCACTTAGCTGGTGATGTTCATTGCTGATGTATTTTGACATGTCACAAAAATTAAGTGTAGTGAGCTTTAAAGCTCTAAACTTAGAAATTTGGGAAAACGTATGTACGTTGATGATTGCAGCAAATGTGGAAGATTTCTTAATGTTCTGGAAATATCTTTTATGAGAGAGGATTAATGGGAAAAACACTTCTTCTGCACAGAAGATTTAATCTTTCGCCTGTTAAAATGTTGTGTTATTTAACAGGGGGCAGGACTTGAAATTTACCCGAGCAGCACATGTGAGCTTTTTGGCAATGATATACATCACTGCAAGGAGGGAATACGTATTAAGGTAAGCCCAAATGTACTTAAGAAAATTAGTAATTTAACAATAGCAACTTTCATTTATGTAATGCCTTGTGTGGAAAATAAACTGCAATGCAATTCTCAAATGAGAAATAGGTAAAACAAAAGCTGAGCCAACAAAGGTGACCAGAAGTATTTGCAGCCTGTACAGTATGGCAGATTGAAGAGGGACAATTTGCATAAGGCAAGAGTGAAGCCATCCTAGATGGCTTCTGTGACATCAGTTGTCCTGGTCTCAGTGGCTACCATGCCAATAATGTTGAGCACTGTATGCTCCAAGCATTGAGGCCAAGTAGCCATGCCTTTCTCTCCTGCTTCTTTGCTGCTGTTGCTTCCTGTTATGTGTCACTAGCTTTTAATTGTGATGAGCTTCACATGAAGTGAGATCCACTGTGAGCATGCAACCATTGACATTTATAGTACTGAGCATGCTGTACTCATGGAGACGATCTGGAAGGTACCATTAAGGTTCGCATGTTGTCTGCATCACTTCCATTGGTGTAGAGTAACTACATTGCAATCTCTGTGCCTGCTGATTGGCCTTTTGAATAATTTTGTGGAGGAGGGAATGAGAGATGCCTACATATTCATAATGTTTGATAAAGGTATTTTACAATGAGTATGAAAGTGTCCTGGAACTAGTTGTAAATGGTGCCATAGAATGCCATGTCATTTGTACTTGACATTTTATTGCAGAATTTTATGGAGGAACTATACGATGTACCAAAAATAACCATGATGAACAATCTGATTCATAACCATGAAGACTACGGTATCACACTGGCCAAATTTGCAATACACATTCCAAAAAAGAAAATTCCTTTTGCAATCGCAGCGCAAACAGGTAAGCGGAAATAATTCTTGTAAATTGATTAACTTAATTTTGTTACTTGTGACCTGAATGAGGTTACAAGAAAAATGCTGATAGAGTTAAATGATGGGAGGTAGCTCAAGTGGAACGTAAACACATTTGGCCTGTTTCTGTACCATTAATACTATGTCGTTTGTACACTTTAAATCTATAGTGAGTCATCTTTGGGCTAGCAGTGCGAAATATTTTAAAATGCATTTAACTTTTTAATTAACACAGGAAAGTTGGAAACGTTAGAGGATTTCCCTCCTTTACATGTTCAGGAAAAGACTTGTTTGCTTTTCTGTTCATGCTCCATTCACACTCTGGTCATGAAACAAGTCTATTTCTATGTACAACAGTACTAAGATAACATCTCAACCAGGACTGATAAATCATAAATAACATTCATGCATAAATGCTAAGAAATGACCACTTGAACATGAGAACTTGTTTACCATCTGTAAAATGGATCAGACTATTATCAACACAATGACTACCAAAAGCAGACTAGAGACTAATTTTACTTTCTGATGCTGTATTTTCACCCTCCTCACCTCCGCTCCAACCATGACTGTATATCACAAACAGCAGACGTTTTAGTATTGATCTTGAGAAACTCCGGTATTCCTCACTCCAGTATGCCTCCCTCCAGTGTGAAGAACATTCACTCATCACCACTTTGTTTTCTATCTATGTTTTGTCAATTTTTTTCAGGGTGTAGTTTTTACTAGTTAGGCCAGCATTTATTGCTTATCACTCATTGCCCTTGAAAAGATAGGTGATGATGAGCTACCTTCTTGCACTGCTGCAGTTTGTCTGATATTAGGATGTCAACTGTGCTGTTTGGAAGAGGATTCCAGGAGCTTAACGAGTGACAGTGCAGGAACTGATATAGTTCCAAGTGAGGATGCTATATGGCTTAGAGGGGAACTTGCACACATTGTGTATGTGCTGCCCTTGTCCTTCTGTATAATTGTGGTCATGTGTTTGGAAGACGCCATCTAAGGATCCTTGGTGAGTTGTTGTAGTGCAAATTGTACATGATACACACTTGCCACTATGTATTGGTGGGCATGAATTTTTAAAATGTTAGGTGGGGTGCCAATCAAGTGGGCTGCTTTGTCCTGGATGTTGTTGAGCTTTTTATCGTTGAAACTGCACTCATCCAGGCAAGTGACCTGAGATAACTTACTTGTTCCTGATTTCCCAGTTTCTGACATGCTCTTGTAGCCACAGTATTCACATAGCTCATCCACTTCAGTTTCTGGGCAATGGTTAATCCCAGGATGTTGATTGTGGGTTGGGGTTAGTAATGATAATATTGTTGAATTTCAGGGAAGATAATTAGATTCTGTCTTGTTGGCAACAGTTATTTCCTCACTCGCATGTGGCAAGAATGTTGCTATCCCTATAATCTCTCAGACTTTTAATAACAAACCTAATATATGATACTCTGTTACAAAATATTTGAAAATACGTGAGTACATTGACTCCACTACCAGCGCATAAACTGCATTGTCTTCATCTATCTGTTCTGTTACCTCATCAAAAAAACTCCAATCTAGCTGTTCAACATGTATTTACTCGTAATAAATCTTTTTGTCTCATTTCACTTGTGTATGTTTGCGCAAAGGGCGGTTAATTTTATTTCTGCTTGTAACTATCAGGTTCTTCCTCCTCTTTGAATAAGGGTAAAATACTTGGAATGCTCCAGTTCTTTGACTCCACCTGGTATCTAGGGAGAATTTGAAGATTGTGGTCAGTGTCTCTGCAATTTTTAACCTTCCTTCCTTCCCTCCCTTCTCAATTGAGAAGACCAGATGATTTATTCACTTCACAGCCTTTTAAGTTGTTACATTTTGTCTATTTTTTTAATCTCATCCAGCAGCCTGGTATCTTCCTTATGTACCATAGCTTTATTAATATCCTGTTCCTTGATGGCCACAGATGCAGATAACTCATTTAGTGTATTTTGTCTCCATCAATAGATATATATTTTGGTCTATTGTCAGCTCCTTTTGCTTTTAATATGCTTACTTGAAGATTTGGATTTTCTTTTCTATCAGCTGTCAATCTGTTCTTGTACTGACTCTCTGCTACCAACTACTTTTCTAACCTTTCATTTTGCATTTGGCTTGAATCCTTCCTTGTATGCCAAATGTCAGTTTGATAATATGACCCTTGTCTGGAACTGCATACCCAACAGTATTTTATGAATATCACAAGAAGAGTTCAAGGTGGCTCTCCACTGTCTTTTAGGAGCAAATATGGATAGCCTTACCATTGCCTACACCTTAAATACAAATACATATTTTAAATGGTCTGTCTCAATCAAAGGTTTACAGAGTTACTGTGCAATCACAAATTATTCCGCTACAATAGTACATGTTTGCAGAATATTTGAAAGAAATTTTCTTTAGTTGTACTTTAGTGAGATTTTCCCCTTTTACCCAATGCCAAGTTGTTTTTAAGGAAATTGAATATTACTGGAAAAAAAAATTCTGTTTTGGCTGAAAAAATAACTTGAAGTATTACTAAGGCACTCTTATAAACTATTACGAAAGACAGCTCAGTAAAATAGAATTACATTAATAACACATTACTGTGGCATGTTTTAATTGAAACCAGAAAATTATACAAAAAAAAACAAAATCTGAATATTTATTTCCTGACGCTTTTATTTTTTAGGCGATACAGAACAAAAAGAGAATCCACAGAACAATGTCAATGAAAATAATTCAGAATTAAATTCTGACTTTTGTGAAATGCAAAATGTACCACCTTTATTAATTGAGTGTAGTTCTAGCAAATGTGAACAAGCTGTAGTGTTGAATCCTTCTGATGCTGCTGAATGTGATGAAGTTATAACAAATGAACTAATTTCTACTTCTGCAACAAAGAGGAAACAGTCCAGAAGCAGATTAAATGAGACGCTAGATGCTGGGGTGATTGATGACATAATGTCACAAGAAATGTTTCTATCCATTGTGAGTAATCATTTTAAGAAAAACGGGAAAGGAAGCTTTGGAATTGTGTACTCCTAACTCCAATTAGTATATGAACCTTGATGTATGAAATACATTTGTACATATTTTTTGAAGCAACTGTATAACTTAATATTTTTCACCAGCTTGAAGTTGTCTATGTACGATGGCAAAATCGCAATACTTGGCAGGTGATAGGAAGAATTGATGGAATTCCTTTTTGACAATTCTATCTTCTAAAGGTGTTCTCACTAGTTAGTGTGCATAATCAAGTTTGTCATTGGTCCAACTCAGAACCTTCGTGTTCAAATGCAATGCAATTATAGCTGATTTATTGCCAATGAATTGTATAGTGTTGACGATAAGTTAAGAAGACATTTCCATAAACTGCAGAAAGAGACTTAATTTGTTGTACTTCAGTTAGCTGTATAAAATATAACATTTAAAAGCAAGATTTGTAGTGGGATTATGTGTAGTACTCATCATTTTTCCATACCAGTATTTGGAACTATTGATTCCCAAGTATTAAACTAATGTGCTAATTTCAGGAATATCTTACTCGGCACTCTTCTTCCCTTTCCTAATCACCCCTCAGCCTATCCAAATGTCCTGACGTGATCAAGAAGCCAAGAATTAATGAAATATTTTGCAGATACAATCTTTTACTGCAACTTCATTAATTTCTTTCCATTTATTTGCATCATTATGTACTCTGAACTTGATTCTTTCCTCATTTATGGTTTCATTCCAATCAGAACAGCTATCTTCAATAGAAAATAAATAACTCTCCATTATCTATGTAAGAAAATGCTTCTTTAATGTACTTGCTTTACGCCAACATGCAAACATCACTGTTGAATTAAAAAAAACTTGATAATTCCACTGGGTGAAATCATGTAACTTTGCATTAATACTGGATCAATACCAATTTTACTATGTTTGAAATGTATTTTATTGTGAAGTAAAATAGGATGAATGTGAGAAATATTTGTGCTGTATTTGCAAATGGAGCTTATTTAATTTGTGTTGTCAATACAACTTTAACATTCTCATAGCAGTACATTTTCAATGTTTTCAGGCCTTGCCACAGCCCTGTTGTAATTAATGACGAATGTTTATTGATTTCATTACTGAAACCCTTATACCAAGCAAAGCATAGTTACACTAAACTTTTAACTATCAAATTGTAATGTAAATTTGTTATTTATATTACAAGCAATGATTTTTGTTATTTTGTGGTAAATGTCACTTTTCCTTTATGGGGTTAACAGATTGTAATATTTGATAAAAACTGAAAGAACTGCGAATACTGTAAATCAGAGACAAAATAGAAATTGCTAGAAAAGCTCAGCAGGTTTGGCAACATCTGTGGAGAAAAATCAGTTAACGTTTTGGGTCAAGTGACCCTTTTGGGAGTTAACAATGAATAATCCCCATCAATTAGCAACTTGATGCTGCATAGTGAGAATCTCGCCACGCCGCTTGTGAAAAGCATAAAAGATGGTGTGAGTTGCTGCTGGTGTTGAGATCGGCCTTGTTGCATAAGTCGCCCGATTCTCCCATGTATCTTGCTACAACCCAGATCTCTCAGAAACCACCTATCATTTTCTTTTGTATGCCAATAGTTTCTGCTCAGTTTCCTTTTCACATTATCTGAATTAAAGCACATTTTATTCGTTTCATTCAGTTTGATTTTTTTCTTAACTGTGTGTTTGTTAAGAATATGGAAACAAATAAGCGTATGGATTACATGCCGGTTATAATTTTCATTTACGTTTGATGAATGTCACAAACTGTCTTTTTACATGGAAACATTGATTCATGTTTCAAAACAAAATACAGTGAATTTTGAAGCAAATTAATTATTTCAGCTATGGTTTGTTTAGTTAGAAAAGATGTCCTAATGGTTTGCATCTTAAGGTAAAGAATTCAATTTCTAACACCAATGTGTGGCGGATAGAAAGAGGCAAGTGGACAGAGTACAAACAAAAACAGAAATTGCTGGAAAAGCTCAGCAGGTCTGACAGCATTTGTGAAAAGCAAACAGAGTTAACGTTTCAAACTCTGACCCTCCTATTACTCGACAGACCATCTTTCCTTGTTCTAATTTTAGTTCTTTAATTAATAAAAAGAACTTAGAGGGCAAGGCATTGGAAAAGAGTATAGGTGGGAAGAAGTTGAGGTTGAGAGATTGTCTGGCTTCTCACCAACTCACTCTTATTGGAAATGAATGGGAATGGGGAAGAGGGAATGAAGAATTAAGAACATGTTGAGTAACATCAGAATGATTGAAAAGGGTTTTGCCATTCTATTGCAAATGCTTTATCACAGTCATACTTTTTCTGTGATGCTGGTCGCCTTTCCTCATGGTCCCCTCCCATTCTAGTGCCATGTTATTAACTAAGATGATTTGTTGTAATATGTTCTGTTGTCACTTCCACAGCTGGCGCTCGTGTCAGGAGGTCTGTTGTTACAAATATTCCTGCTTGGAATATAAGATCTGTTGGATTCTCTTGGAAAAGAAATGCAAGACAAATTGATGATATAAGACAGAGAATACCCACAGCTGAAACTTATTCTAAAAATTGGTATTGGTTGAAAATTCTGAGGTTAGGCTGGAAATTCTGCAGCTAGTGGGCACAACAAATTTAAACAAGACCATCTATTGAATAGATAATTTATGAGCCATTACATGAATTAGTTTTAAAACAAACTTAAAAATCAGAACATAATTAATTACAGCTGTGAAATCGAATCAAAGCAATGATAGTTGATGGATAACCAACAATGGTTATAGCAGAGTCTGTTTGGTACATTGTGTTATGCTAGCTCTCTCACTTCCCTGCTCTTTTCATATAGTCCTAGAATTTTTCTCTTCAGTTATTTGTCTAGTTCCCTTTTGAAAGCTGCGGTTGAATCTGCCCTAATCTCTCACTCAGGCAGTAGATTCTGGATTGTAGCCACTTGCTACGTATTACATTTTTACTCGTGTCACCTTTGGCTCTTCTCCCCATCAAGTTTTTGGCACTTATCACTAGGGATTCTTTGCAGACCGTTGGATAGATCCCTTCCTCCCAGTCTAGTAAACAACTGTTCAGTGTTGCTGTCTGTTTCCTGTCACTTAGCCTACTCTGTTTCTGGGCTCTGATGCTCTTTGAGAATTTGAAAAAAAAAATGACATTGCTAAATTAAGACGCAGCTGCCTGGGTCCTATGCTGTTTGTAGAACACTGTAGTTTCAAGTACCAAAGAATTGCATTTTCAATATATTTTGGCTTCATTGATGTTGCCCTTACGGCAACAAGAAAGCAGTGCCATTATTGTTTACAGGGCCAAGTCAAGGAAGAATGCTTTCCATTCACTGTTGGTACCCCCATGTTTATAGGAACATTATGGCTGCATGAAGACCCATCTTGGATTAGTGCCTGTTGAATATGCTAAAATTATGCAGATGTGATCTTTCAGATGATTCCAGTGGGTGACCCTCCAACACGATAGTCAGCATCTTTGAGCAATAGAAACTGTACAATGTAACACAAATACAGAGGTTTATGTTAATCTCTGTGGACAGATGTTTCAAAATTGTTAAATAACATCTTTTTTCCAGTTTTAATGAAACAGTGTTGCTGGTTTTTGTTTTATTTCAGAACCTCTTTAAACTTTCATTTAGAAAAGATGCTGATACTATCAGAAAATGAAACACAGAAATTTGTAACTTATAATCTCATCTCTTTGTGTCTTTCATAAAATAAGATTGTCTAACATTATTCAGACAGTTTAAGTGTATTGAATTGTATAGTTGTAAGTAAAATGGAAAGTAAAAGAATGTATTGACAGTGAATACAACAACAACAGCCGGTTTTTATCTTGGTGAACCCAGCAATTTTGTTGTGTCAAAGAATAGTCTATTATATAGACTGAAATATCTTGTGATAGACACTAAGTGAGTTTGATGATGTGTTTTAGATGTGTATATAAATGTGCGTGTATGAGTATCCATCTATCTATCACCCTTGTGAAAGAAAAATCTTTTAAAACCTGTGTGTATTAGCCACCGTGAATCAGTATATCTTGTTTAGCATGATGCAGTTTTCAAGAAGCCAACTGAAATAAAAGTAACACTTTAGATTAGTTTTATTTTTAAAGGCAATTGATCAGGAAAGATTTCTGTCAGGCAGTTGGCTTGCTGTCAGTCTCTGGCAAGAGCTAGTCAGATGTTCAAGTTTGTTGTTAGTCAGTTTGACTGTCTACAGCTGGTTTGATCTGGAATATCTCTTAGGAGGAAAGCACCTTCTCTAAGAAAAGCCACAGAGCTGAACAGCAGCTGTGATAGAAGTATCTTTAAACAGAAAATCTTCCAGAGAAGTCCCCAGAACAATCTGTTTCAAAATGAAAACCCTTGCCTGCAATAACAGGGCAAACATGCCTTTAAAAAGTAATGAAAACAGTAAATGCCCACTAGCTGTTAAGGGAACAAATCTGAATTTAATACCCAAGAAGAGCAGATTACCAAACATGTGCACACATGCAAATCTGCTCCTTTGAGGGAAGAGATATAAAAGTTTAGTTTTCACTTGAAAGGCAAAGATGAAGACCACAGTTATGATTTCCTACAGTGAATTAATAAATTTCTGAATTATTTATTACATCAGAAAGTTAAAAGCTGGCGAAGATAATTCTTCAGATATAGTTCTAAAGTATGTTGATTGGAAAAGAATTGGGAGTTTAAAAAAAATTGCAATTTGAAGTATTAGATCCCTAACAGTGGAGTTAGTGAAATCTTGATTATTTTGACTGTTAAAACAACAAATTCAAAGTTGCATTGGGCAAGTAAGAAGTTATATCAATTTTATTGATTAAAATACAAGATGTTGGATAAGGAAAGAGTGCATGATATTGAATTTGGTACAAAAGTATCTCAAATGCAGAAAAAATGTTGCCACTAATGATGTCACTGCAGATACCTTTGTTAAAGTAAAAAAAATTGAATCTTATTGAGTGAAGCCATTTTGAGAATGTCTCCCCACAGATCTTTGGGAAATCTTTCAGCATTTTGAAAATAGATGCCTTCTTTCTGAAGACACCTCATTGGTAAAGGAAAACAACTTTATATTGAAAATAGCATTTAAGTAGCAGAAACTCTAACAACTCTACTTTTGTACTATAACCTTTAAAATAGCATAGATTCAATAACAATTTTAATCAATGAAGAGTACAATACAAATCAAGAAGCTGTTCAGGCATTTAAATATCTTAATTAAATACTATCAACAATTTAGCAATGAAACAAAATTTAGCTATATCAATTTTTCCTACAAGAAAAACAAATCTACACATTGATTAATCTATTCGATCATCAAATTGACAGTTGTGGAAAGAACAATTTATAAGGTTTTGAACAGCTTCTAGATTAAACATCAGATCAAATGATTCCCCATTCAACATGTACATTCATGCCTTGGAAAATAACATTGAACAAGTGAATGATTGAAGGGAGCTAGCTTCACATGATGAGCATCAAGATAAAGGTAGATAACTCCTCCAGAAAGATCAAAGTAATCAATGCTATCTAGTGCTAATAGTGGTACAGATGACATAGAATCACCTCATAATTCTCGTGCATTTCTGCAATTGCATCACCATAGGTTCTTTCAGCCAGATTTTCACTTTTGCCCCATATCCCAAGATCCCTTTAGCCCTAAAATCTATGTCTAACTTCTTGAAAAATTCAGTGTTTTTGCCTCAATTACTTTCTATGACAAATATTTCTACAGGCTCACCAGTAGGTGAAGAAATTTCTCATCTCACTTTGAAATGGCCTGTAACTTTAGTCTGTGACCCCTGACTATGGGCTCCCTGGTCATCAGGAGCATCCTTCTTGCATTTACCCTGTTTAGGTCTTATTAGAATTTTATAGGTTTCTATAAGACTCCCCACCCCCACCTTCATTTTCAATCCAGTGAATATAGTCCTAACTAATCCAGTATCTCTTTTGCCATTGCAGGAATCCGTGTAGAAGGCCTTTATTGCATTCCCTCTATAGCCAGACTATTGCTCCTCAAATAAGGAGACCAAAATTACATACAATACTCCCAGTTGTGTTTTCACCAAAGCCCTGTATAATTGAGGCAAGCCCTCCATCTTCCTGTACTTGAATCTTCTCACTATGGAGACTAACATGCCATTGGTTGCTTTCACTGCCTCCTGCACCTGCGTGCTTATTTTCAGTGACTGGTGTACAAGGACACCCAGATATTATTGCACCTTTATTGTCATTCAGATAATCTGTTTTCGTGTTTTTGCTACCTAAAGTGGGTAACCTCACATTTATCCACATTATACTTCATCTGTCACGCATTTGCCCACTCACTCAACTTGCTGAAATCACCCTGAAGCATCTCTGCATTCCCCTTACAGTTCACCTCACAACCTATTGTTGTGTAGTCCACAAACATGGAGATATCACATTTAGTTGCCTCACCTAAATCCATAACATATAATTATGAATAGCTGGAGTACAAACACTGAATCTGTGGTACTGCACTGGTTACTGACTGCCACTCAGAAAATGACTTGTTTATTCCTATTCTTCATTTCCTGTCTGCCAATCAGTTCTCTATCCATGTCAGTACACTACCCCAATCCCATGTGCTTTAATAGAATAATCATCAACATTTTAAAGC